CTCTAGAAGTCCTCCCACTGCATTTGAATCATGGAGCACCTGTTCTAGTTCCAAGTCATCCAACTTACCTTCCAATTCACGTACTTTAGTTTCAAGAGAAAGAATCTTGGTCTTGTCGGCGGACGAAGCTTTCCGGGTTAAAGTCCCCTCTCTTTTCAGTGTTTTAATCTTAGATTTGAGCGATTGGATTTCGGCAGTATATTTGGCTTCAAACTCACGTTGACTCTCAGTATGAGACTTTCGTTCAGAAATAAGTTGGGATCTAACTTTAGTAGTGGATGCAATTAACTGGCTAGCTTTATTTTCAAACTCCTTTTCTCGCTCATTGTACTTATCTACCAGCTTTTCGCTGAGATCATTAATTTCAGCTTTAGATATAAGAGCGGAATATAATTTTTCTTTAATCTCTTGCTCATTTGCACCACCAAGTCGTTGACCGACCCCCCTAAAGGAACAATCACTTTTATTATTGATATCTTTCAAAGTATATACATTGGTCATAGCCTTTTTTTCGGCTTAACTGTTACTATAGTAAAAAAAATATGACTAAAAATTTCTGGATCGAATCTACCGAAAATATATCGATAGTACCAAATATACTGAATAAATCGGATGGATCGAATGAATCGAAATTATCGAATCTACCGAAAATATATTGATAATACCGAACAAAAATCGAATGAATACCGAAAATATATCGGTATTTTTTGAAAGATTTTTTCTATCCATTTGTAAAATGATTAGGTATTTGCGCTCAGATGCAACCCGTCTATCTTCTGAAGATATTCAGGATATTATTAAAGCCAAAAATTCAATGAAACGGGCATCAGAAGCCATGGCTAATAAATACAAAATATCAACACGACGGGTATATCAAATATGGAGAGGAGCCCATCCACAAATAGATCCTAAAGACATAAATCGATTTTCGGAAGAACCTGGTTCGCCTCAGCAAGCAGACCCTGTGGAATGTAATGTTATTTCTGGAAGTAAGGTAAAAAAGTTTGGAGGAAAAAAAACTAAGTCTAAATCCATTCGTATATCTGAATTACCTGTTATTCAGACACCACTAGCTTCAATAAGCTCAAAAAGTTTAAATATAAGCAATGAGGAATTAGAAGCATTTTGTGAGAAAGAAGATAAGAGAGGCGAAAAAATCACAGAAGAAATGAATAGGATACTAGCCACGTAAAAGATATTTTTCATTTAGTTCATTATAACGTAATAACAACTCCTCACATAATTCATTGAGATTTTCTTTAGACTTAAGAGTGTTATATAACATTCTTTCAAGCTCCTCATAACTCACTTTTTTTTTAATGTCTCATTCGCGCTCAAGTCCACTTGGTCCGGAATCGAGGATTCATCACATTCGGGAGTAGTGGTTACACAATTCACCTCGAGCTTGTTCTTGACTTTGTGCATGGTGACTGGAATAATTAAATCCTTGCCGTTATGAGAAATCTTTAATTCATCTTTGTCCCAGTCAATTGCACATTTATATTTCTTAAGAAGAGGGTTCGAAAATATTAGCATTGGCTTAGAGTATTTTACAACTATAAAATCTTCATATATAGTAAATCCAGGAGCTAAGGTTATCGGTAAATTGTGGACGACTCCAATAGATTCAACCGGCACAGTAGCAATACCACTAAGATCATGTTTTATAGATTTGTCGATTCCATATCCTACGCGCTCAACAATATCAGGTGTTATAATGGGAAGTTCGGCACAAGAGTCCAGTGCCATAGCTGGAATTTTAAGACGCTTAATCTTGCATTTTATAGATGCAATGCTTGTGGTGGGCTCCTTCTTTTTGACGAAATCTATCTCCATGGGTCCATCCAAAACATCCTCTTCATCTGAATCTTGAGCTAAGGCAGGTACACACTTTTTAGCCTGCTGAATTATGTACGGAAGATAATTCTCAAATTCGATCTGAATGATTTTGCGAATAGTTTCTTCTAAAGACACACGCTTACCATGACTATCTTTATCTGATGAGGCATTATGGGTAGAAGACAAATTATTGTCTTGCTTTACCTTACGAAGCTCGGATTTACTAGAGACCTTAGACTTTGAGGATTTATCAGGATACCCACGTCGCTCAGCGTAATTCACTTTTTTTTTCCATTTCCATGACTTATGTAAATATTCATATCACGATTTCCGGAGTCTGAACCAGCTGACGAATTATCAGAGTTATAATCATTGTCCTCAGGTTTTGATGTATCATCATCAGAAAAAATGGGATCAGATTGGTCATCTACTGTAGCCATATGAACTCGACCACTTCTGGATTTGGAATCTTTAGCGAGTTTAGCCAATAAGGCTTCGATTTGTCCTAATCTTTTTTCCAATCCTCCAAAAGGTGAGGACTCCGAGCGTTGACGCTGAGGTGTTTTGGTACCTCTGGTATCTTTTCTAGCAAATTTGGCTAAGTGGGCTTCAATTCGTTCTAATCTTTTTTCCAATCCTCCATTATTATAATCTGAGAATTCTGAACACTGATAATGAGCTGATTTGGTATCTATGGTATCTTCTCTTACAAGTTTGCTGAGTTTGGCTAAATTAATTTCGATCACTCCTAATCTTTTTTCCAATTCTTGATTAATATAACTATCAAAGATTGAAGCATTATTTGAATTAACTACATTTTCTGGTAGCTGTAAACGTTGGGCAAGTTTAGAATGCACCTGCATTGATTCCGCTAACTGTGCCTCCAAAGAAGCTATTTTGGAATTTAACTTTTCAAAATTGGCTGAAACTTCATTATTTTTGGGGTGTAGTACTTGAGCCGGTTGTGCTAGTTGCGCCTGTAGAGATACTATTTGGGAATTTAACTTTTCAATCTCAGCTGAAGAATTATTCTGATAATTTTGGTTTCCATTTAAATTGGGAGCACGCTCCAGCCACATGTCTTTTAGATTTGTAAAAAATGCATTAATACCAGCAGGAGCGACAGCTCGCATCCATGTATAAAGATCACCTGATAAGTGGTTCTTAAGAAATCCTATAGTTTGTGCATCATTATCTGCTACACCTAATAATAAAGGTCGGATTCTTTTTTCATAAGTATCTGGCGAGTCTGTGGGTAGAAATTTTTCTTGAGTTAATCTTTGAAGTGCCGACTGCCGACTACCTACTGTTTCTCGTTGATAATGTGATCTCATCCAAGCA